CATCTTAAAGTAAGTTTGATGTGTGAGAGATAGATAGCGCAAGACCCGCAGTGCTGTAACCAAGTCTGAAAAATAAAACTTCTAAAACTTTCCACGAAATGTGTCTGTTTGAGTTTATAGAGGAAGATCTTGAGTATCAAACACGACCTTTCATTAAAGACTACTTTATTACTCGGTCGTATTTTTTTTTAACTAAGCAACCAATCTACTTCCTGTTTACACCGCCACCGACCCACATGCCCAGTGTACGTGAATAGTAATGTGATATTTGTTTTCAGGCGTTTTAGTCTGGACTGAGATCGTTTTTGTTTTAAAACTCGTAGTAGTATGGATGTAGCCTCAGAGAGAGATGTGTAACAGACCTTACCTTGGCATCAGTCTTGCTTCCTGCCTCCTCCGTCTTCTGCTGACTTTTCTCTTCACCTGCACTTTTCTCTTCATCTTCCTGCTTCTCTTTGGCAGCCTCGTCCTTCTCGACCTCATCCTTACTGTCCTCTTCCTTGCCGTCCTTTCCAGACTCTGGAAGCACTTCCTCCTCGTCCTGGACACAGGAAAAAATGTTAGCTACAATCTCAGGCCGGGCACATCTGAGCATCATCAATATGTTGTCAAACCTAGGTGCAGCAGTGTGAAATCTGTGTATGGTTAATAAACATACCCCTGAGCCTGCCTAACTGATAGAGCTACAATTACCTGGACAGGTTCAGTTACATTTGAGGCGGGTTCTGACGATCCTCCTCCAAACAAGGTGGAAATGGTGTTACCCAGTTCTGAAGGAGAGCAAAGTGCAGGCTCAGTTAGTCAGTAATAATGAGTCCTATAAACTAAAAGACAGGCTGTAGAACTACACGAGTCAGTAATCATGTTACATGTGAAACATGTAGCACTTTCAAAGTGTTACTCCTGAATAACGTTCTAAAAGCTGCTACAAAGCAGTCATCTCAGATGAGCAGTACACTCTTGGCCAAAAGTTTTGAGAATGACAATTAGTCTGCTGCCTCAGTTTTTATGATGGCAATTTGCATATACTCCAGAATGTTATGAAGAGTGATCAGATGAATTACTAGTAAGATTGCACCT